GAAAAGGCCAGGAATAGATTTGCATCAAGAGCCTCCAGAAAGAACATGGCCCTACCAACACCTTGATTTTAGTCTACTAAAAATTATTTTATATTTTTAACYCCAAGAATTGTAAGAGAATMAATTTCTATTACTTTAAGCCACCAAGTTTGTCGTTTGTTCAATAAACTAATATAGAAAACTAGTACAGATTTTGGACCTGGGTATGGGGTACTGGTGTAATAAATACYTAAAAATATGAAAGCAACTTTAAGATTGAATAACGAGTAAGGGCTGAACAGATATTTAGATGAATTACAGAAAAAGCCTACATTGCCTTAAACAGACTATTGGTAGAAATATGGATGTTAAAGACTCTTCTAGTGAGGGCTCAGGAGGAAGTAAGAAGCATGGTGGAGAAAGAATATAATGATTTAGAGAATACACATATTACATATTATAAATAGAAAACTGATATGAACGAATATTTTAAAGGAGCTTCTGGTGAGGGTTCAGAAGGAGATAAGAAACACATGATTTGAAACCAAAGGAAAGCCAATCCTTGGTATAAAGGAGCAGAAATTTTAGTTGCATGCAAAGCAGAAATTTGTAAGCAATGAGTTTAGAAATTTAGCTAACAATATTTCAAAGTAAAGAGGTGTAGCCTGCTTCCTTCTGAAGGCTAGTAGAAATATTTTGACTCATAGATGCTAAGGTAATGTGAAGATGGGAGCAGAGATAGATGTGATGTGGCTGCAAGGCCAGGAAAGCCCAAAGTCACCAGAAGTTGAAAAAGACAAAGAGCAAGTTCTCCTGTACAACCTCTGGAAGAAGTGCAGCACTGGGGATATCTTGATGTTAGCCCAGTGAATCTGATTTTGGATTTCTAGTATCCTGAACTGGGAAACAACACATTTCTGTTGTAATAAGCTACCAAGCATGTACTAGTTTGTTAGAGCAACCTAGAAATTAACACAACATATTAGATGTGTTTGTCAACTTTCATTTTAAAAGCCTAAAGTACTTTTAATATATTATTTTAAAAACATAAGTGTAGAGGAACTTTAAAGTGTTTATCTCCATCCAAAGACTATAAACTCCCTTAGATCTGGAACTCTGATTTAAATCCAAGCTCCTTTAATTTTGTTGATGACTACTTAGCACCAATTCTATTTTGTGTGTGTGTGTGTGGGGGGGTGCTGGGGACTAAACCCAGGGCCTTGTGCATGTGAGGCAAGCACTCTACCAACTAGCACCAATTCTATTTTATGGCACCATCAACTACAACAGTATTCTAAAGACATGAGTTCATACACAATTTAGGAA